CATTGAACAAGGTTGAGACACCTTAATTCATGTGTTTCGCTGGAACAAGTTAACCTATAGACAAGCATACCCGGTTCTCTATAATAGTCGATGTATAAATTGGCAATAAGTAAGAAAATACTACGCTAAGAACAAGGTCAGGAGCACATTTGCTATATAAAATTGGTTGCTAAGCGTTGAATGCATTGATCATTCTATGGGGATAATATAGAACTTTATGCTGCAAATTTTGAGCTGCAAAAGCTTACTTGCCTTTCCCAGATTCCTGACACCACAAAAGACCACACGATACACAATAATATTAACAATTTCATTTAACTCAGCTTTTGAATGTAACTCTCTGAATTATTAAGAATTGTTTTCAGTTAATTAGTTTCAGCATGCATGGAATTCTTCCCAGGAATCAATAACCCACCTGAAATTTTCTTCAAATAATTTAAACATGGTGAAAATTTGTCATAACATTATTACTATTTTCAATCACATTTATTTTGGCTGTTCTTTTTTTGGTGGAATTACATCTTCTTTATACATGAAGAATGAAGATATTCAATTTTTTCTCTAACAGAAATAACATAGTTCATAATCCATTTTGCACATTTTACACTTAGCATAACCTTATGCTCTTAAAAAATCATCAAACACCATTCCTGCATCACTCATAGATAGAAACTTCGTCTAAAAGTTTACGACACCGCTAATTACACACACTTGACAATCAACCTGATTTATCCTCAAGGGCAGATATCATTTCACTAACACCAACATCTTTGACACAATTTAATAATGTTAAGGAACAAGCAAGGTGTTATCTATACAAACATTATTAAAGTGTAAGAAAGAGAGGCTGAGGAAAGCTGAAGAATGGAACCTAAAATGAGATAAAATTGAATTTAAGAGTAAAGGTGTTTTATGATTGATGAATTTGAAGAGTTGCTTAGAGTTTTCAAGATTGGTCTCCCACAGACCTCGCTAACTGATGTATGCATGGATCATAAAATTGATATCCTAAATCATCAAGCATTCTCTTTAACAACCCTCAGTTGAGAAATGCAGTAGCAAGTAACAAATATACTGTTGTAACTTAAAAATTGGAATGCAAGGATTAGAATCCCAACCAACTACCAAATTCTTGATTAAGAAAATTGATGATACAAGAATGTGAAACAAAATGTTATAGCTTCATTTTATATGGTAAAGAGAAAAGCTTTCTTTCATAGGGAGACATTAGTTTCCTCCCCAAGCTTTTATCAACTCTAGCTAGGCTAAAATGTACAAATCTTCTTTACAAAATTGTTCTCTACCAATCTATGCTAGCAGCAGATTTCATATTACGCTCAATTGAGAAGTGACATCAATGAATACATCCTTACTACAGGGGATTGTGAGGCCACCCAT